GTGCTTAAATCCGGCAACTTAGATAGTCATGGTCATTTGTGGTTCTAAGTATTTTTGTTACTTGATTTCATTTGAATTTTGAAGGTAACACTGTACTCGCCAAATTTCAACAGCTTTTAATGAAATCTACTGAAGGTTTATTTTCTTCAGAAAAATTGATTATTAAACAAAATTTTGACAGTCTGTACCTTGAAGACCAAGCAATACTGTACCTCTCTTTCTACGAAATTTTCGTTTTATTTTTAGAATCACCGCACCTTGTATGGTATTGGAAAAACCACGGCACTTAGTTATTCGTGGTAAGGTGAAAATCATTGATACGATTCGACAGAATAAGATGACATGCGATTGAGCATACTTTGTGTAAACCTCCATCCTATGGCTTCCCAGAGAAGCTTTGCAGATAGATGTCTGACTTCCTTTCTGGTCGCAAGATATCCGTCGTAATTGACGGGTTCTCCTCTTCATCCGACTATGTCAACTCGTGTGTTTCCCAGAGATCGGTCTTGGCTCCAACAATGTTTCTATTACACATCATGACCTCCTCTCCTGTACCTGCTAGATAGATCCGCCAGACTGTTATCACTCTCCACAAATTAATTCGGATCTTTCTTTGTCCATCTTTAGCACGCTACTGGATCCCATCTATTCCACGCAGAACTGCGTTGGAGGTCGAGGCTAAAAGCAACGGAAACCGTTGTCGCCGACATTTCTGACGCTTTTCAATTCCATTGTCGAGATGGGGACAGAACAGAGCAAGAGCGTCTTCCGCTCGGCTTGCCCCACTGGATTACGGGGCACTTAAAAGAATAATATAGAGAGACTACCCCGGTCGTTTTATTAAAATGTTCGCAAAGGGCTGCTGGTCTCTAAAAAGGCATCAAGTCGCCGTAAAGTGAGCGAACGGAAATGTATTATTGCCGGCAAGTGGCAGATAGAGTGCTGTTCTTTGGATGCTGGAGAAATGAGGAATATTCGCCTAATTATATTTTGAGCTGAAAACAGCACAGTATGGAATAACCACATAGTAGAAGTAGCAGTGGTGGGGAGGCGAAGCCTGGCCAGTAGTCCACCTTTAGGATATTTGGGACAATATCCCACGAAGTGAAACGCTGTCTCTTAGACTGTTCAATCTACAGTAGCCGGCGAGAACCCCCACCAAAAGATTGAGTTATTCTCCACCCCGTTCCAGTAGTCAGCAGAATCTATTGATCTGCCTGAAGTCAAAGCTTTTCTGCACACATTTACCTTCCTGGTATACTCCCGCCCCACTGGATCTTGTTTCTTTGGAAAAAGATCCTTCCGTGAAGCACAGGGGTATGTTATATCTCTGTTCAGCCAATCTTCCTTCTAAGGGATACTGAGTGAGAATTCTGATCTTATAGAATCTTCGGCCCTTTCCACTCTTACCGAAGATATGGGAAGATTGCTCTCCGTCTCTTCTCCGAGCCTGGAATGACAGCGGTTCTACTCACGTGTCCTCATCGCGCATTCGACTTGGTCTCCCCCTTTAAGCAGGCGTCCAGTAGCGGCAGTCCCAGGGCTGCTTAAGGGGTTGTACTCATCGCTCCAGTTATCCCCAGCGCCGACAGTCTTTGAATTTTGGCGGTCTTGAGAGTAACTGAACGCGTTTCGATGCTTGGCCACCAGGCCGCTCATCCATACTGTATCCTTGGTCTTATCTCCGTCGTGTAAAGCCAATGCAGGATCTTTGGTTTTAATCCCCAAATCCTGCCGACTCCACACGACTTTGTAGATGTAGAAAACTTACAATCCAGCCCCCCGCTCAGGTATTTTACCTGTTGACTGAGTGTCAGCGGTACACTACGGAGGGTTGGTGGATTGGAATCTTCCGTCTCTTGGTGGAAAGGACAAGCTCAGTCTAAGATCAGAAATAACTTTATAAATGGGAATTACGGGGGTCGCAAAAATTTTCGATTTCCAGATAACATAAGCTTGTTGTATCTTTCATCACGAAAATCAAGCTATACACTTCGTTCGGTTTGTTTTGTTGATTGTCAACGCTCTTACTTGGTGGACAAACTATTTCTCCATGAGATCAATTTGTTTATACAAAAAATGATACTCATTTCAATATTTATGAGAAAGGAAGGTTGCAATTGGTTTGGACCAAAAGTACTGGGCACACAGTTGGTAGAGCAGTCATAAATCTGTAAATAAGAATCCAATTGGAATGCAGACCAAAGATACTTCCGGGTGATGCGGTAGAGTAGGGGAGACCGGGGATGGTTGACTAGTTTTTTACATCATACATATTTTTTGTGCTTTTATAGATACAGACGATAAAACTGCATCAATGGATAGAAGAACTTTTGAACTTATAAAAAAATATAAAAACTAGTCCAATATCCAATATATCATGATCATAACTTAACTAATTTTACAGAACACCAATTCTTAGTCAATTTACCCCGGCTTCGGGGTAGATTGACTATATGCCCGGGGTAAGTAGACTTACGTATCAATAAGTGACAAATTATGAGAAGAGTCAAGTTATGGAACTTTTTTATAATTTAACAAAACTTTTATTCAAAAACAATTTTAATCAGTTACAGACATTATCTTACATAAGTCTTTAACAAAATCATCAACTCCTAGTTTTTATTTAAACATTTATTAGTTTCATTAATTAAACAGTTCCTCTATATCTTATAATATAAGCCTTCAATATCAGAAGCGCAATGTTTGCATTCAAAAAACACTAGATCACCTCTTACACATTTGGAGCGAGCCCATAACTTACGAGTTATTCACTGAATCCGTTGTTCGCCTGGAACACTATCGACGTAGGATTCAGTGCACTCTAAACAAATCGTACTCTCGTCATCTGAATCTACATTACCGTCATTTTTATCGACGGTGTCATCAGCAATCTCATCAATTTTATCCGTTACTTTTCCTTTACCCTTTCCTTTTCCTTTTTCTATTATGTCCTTTGTATCTGCTTTTTTCTTCTGATATGTTTCTCTTTCATATCTAAAAGATTTCGTTATTCCGGGGTGTCGGTATATATAGTACTTTTACGTTTCCGAATATTTCTTCTATTTTCTAAAAGTGGCACCGCTTTTGAAAAGGGCCTTAGTTCTTCAAATTTGCGGTTGAAGTTGAGGAAAAATGTTTTCATTCAATGGTGAAATCCCAGATACTCCGAATCCTGATTCAATATTTTCAATTGTAGCAGCCAATGGTAGTGACGTTTTAACCAGCTCCGGTATTTCATAAATTGTGATAGTCTTTCCCGGGTTACTGGCCAGCCAGTTGTCACATGCTCCGTTGAAATACATTTTCAATGGTCCGTACACAGATCTACTTTTTATGGCGAACTGACATGCTAATTTACGGGTCTCATATGGTGTCAATCCATAATAAATATCATCGGCTTTCTTTAAATAACTTGCTAAAGCTTCTTCTTCTTCATCAGTGAAAAGTTACTTATTTTTAATATATCCCCCTGAGTCCAAAGTTAATTCTGCTCTCGTCAAGTTCGGATTACGTTCCAATTTCTCCTTTAGTTTCGCCACATAACGATGTAATGTCTTATAGGGAATGTCATATTGTTTTGATGTTGCATTAATACTTTTTGTGTAAAAAAATATTAGATGACAAGCTCTTTCTAGGACATCTTTTGGTGTATCAGCTCGTTCAGAACTTCTTTTATAGGTCCTCATAGTACTGTAACAAAATTAATATTAAAACACGAATAAAAGGTTAATTTACGAGATATTTTAAACTTCAAATTATATTGGGGTTGGTTGACTAACTATTCAACCAGCCCCGAAAGAAGTTAGTCTACCAACCCCAGACGCCATTTTAAGTTTCAATGGCATGGGTTACCTAAACACTGCCATCAACTTAAGAAATAATACATGAAATATTATCAATATGCACTCACGAAACACTCTGACTAATAGGCAAATGGTTAACATAAAATGTGTAACTGTCAGATGGAAAAATATGCAATATGAAAATATTACTTACATGATACGAAAACAAATCACGTGTCACTGTTCGAAAACGGCGTGCATCCGCGATGTGGCGCTCCGGACGACTGAGCGGGGATCGGAGAGTAATGCGCGGCTGGGCCGGGATAACGTAATACTCATATCGTTGACGAGTTTTTGGCTAACCGTCTACCTACCCCTATAGTCAACCATCCCCGGTCTCTCCTAGCTATTATGTCTGTATTTTATATCTAAACTTTGTATCGGTCAGTGCATCTTTGTTTTAGTTGGATAGCTGGTTGTTATCAATCTGTCGGTTTGGAGAGTTGGTGACTTTTTGAGGAAGTTCCTGATAACAAATCGTGCGAAGCATGCTGAGAAGGTTGAAAATAGTTACCCGTCTTCGATATCAGCCGAACCTGTCGACATCAACTTTAATAGTGATTTATACAATTTTTTCCTACTCCTCAATCTTCAATTATCGATACGACCCCCTGCTCTTCAATTGTCATAGGGAGCCCAGTGGTTCCTAAGGCCCGTATCGTCAGTCGTCCCTACAATTGTAGGGTGCGTTTATGGCCTCCTTCATTGTCATACTCCTTTCTCTCCTTCAAAAATTTCTAGATTACACTTGTCCCGTGTCAGCGTCAGCGCTCTCCAATTGTGAAGATATGTTTTCCTTTTAAATTGTAGGAAATTTCAGGCTGATAAAACATGATATAACTCAAAAGCAAGCACAATTTGATGCAAATAGATGTTTGTGACATAACCTCAAAATAGAGTTCTGACACGGAGAAGTAGAAAACTATGACAATCAAGGAGGCCATAAAGGCGCCCTACAATTGTAGGGACGACTGACGATACGGGCCTAAGTGCTGTGATCTTAGTCGATCACCCTTCGTCCTGAATACAGAACTACCTTCATTGTAGGAAGTCAGAGCGATGATACTGTTTTTAGACTCCAACTTCAAAACTCCTTGTTCGACACCAAATCAATGGACTATTCCCAGTACAGTATTTTCTTTTCTTCATTTACAGAGGTGCTGAACGACGCTATCTTCGACGAAGACCACGACGAAATGGTGGTGGTGAAAGACATCGACATGTTCTCCATGTGCGAGCACCACCTGGTGCCTTTCTACGGCAAGGTCTCGATTGGATACCTGCCACGAGGCAAAGTGCTGGGACTTAGCAAACTGGCCCGCATCGTGGAGATCTATTCCAGAAGGTTGCAAGTGCAGGAGAGACTCACCAAGCAGATCGCTGTGGCTGTCACCAAGGCTGTACAGCCAGCGGGGGTGGCGGTTATCGTGGAGGGAACGTAAGTATGCATACATGGTGGTCCATAGAAGACAATAATCAAATCCAAGCGGATAACCAAAATTTCCGTATTATGTACCGCGGTTATAATATGGTTCAAGATGACACACGGGATCATGACGTCAGTTCCTCGAATCGCTTGAACGCGTTGGTTTTAACCGCGGTTTGTTGCAAGTTGTTTATTTTAGAAAAGCGCGTATATAATTTCTGATTATTTTTATTATCACTTAATAATCGGTGCTTTTTCGTCCACAACGGGGTATGGAAAGTTGAAAAAAAGAAAACTTTCATAATATTAATGGGAGGAATGTTTTTTTTTACAGAAAAAAATGTTTAGTGATGGAACCATGGCTTTGTAGCTATGATAACTTTCAATTCTCTAAACTTTTCCGCATGCCAAAGAAAATATTTATTGATTTAGCAGAAATTATGAAAAAGCGATGAAAATAAGATATTAACAAAACCGTATACAGGTGGACATCATCCAGTGAGCTTATACGGCCATATTTTAATATTCTTGTGGTATATAGCTATACAGGATACTTTGTTAAGCGTAGGAACTACATTTAAAGTGTACCCAACAACAGTAATGATTATAAATAATCAGGTGCTCTCTTATGCTAAAACTGAAATCAGCCTGTATCAAGTTTCCCAAAAATGAAGCTAAAGTACAATAAAAATATCCAATACCCGGCAAAATTCTAACTTGTCACATGTCAAATAATAACCAGAAATTTAAAACTACTCCCGAGTTGGGTAAATACCACAATTTTGCGGTGTTAACTATGACATATAACAGCTGATTCATGACGTCACGGATCTTATAACCAAACTGATAACCACACTCGCTTGAACGGATCGGTAAATACCAATCCAAAATGGTAAATACCATTTCCATTTGGTTATCCGCTTGAATTTGATTAATCTATCCCGGGAACTAATTTATCAATAGCAGCAATGTCTGGGCTGGGCGCCATTTTGTAACATGTTCTTAAATAAAGAGGAGAACAATGTCGTACTTTAATTTAAAGTCTTGGATGAATACGTTAGAACCCTAGAATATAAAATCATAATAACGGAATATGGTGAACTGCCTTGTCGAACTTGATCTTTTTTGTAGATTGAATCGGATGTAACTTAGCAACTAATTTTCAAAACGTTAGAGTATGCTATATCAATCTCCTTCTTTTCGAATGGTATGTGTATGAACAATAAAATATAAGACATCAGATTAAAAATTACAGATTTAGACAATATTTTTAAATGGAATGCTTCATATTTTGTTGCAGATTCGGATAGACGAAAATTGATATACGTTTTAATGATTGGTTGTTGAGTTACAAGCGACTCAATACATAAAAACGCTCAAGTTTGACAGCCTGTCTGTTATTTTGAATGATGGTGATTTTATATTCTAGAGTTATAAAGTACTCATAAAAGCTTCCAAATGAGTTATCACACAACCCCCAATTTTATTTGGAAAAATTTTCAAAAATGGCGTAATGATCCTTCCTTCCATTTAAGATATATTCCAAGATGGCGACCAACTTCCACTGCCTCCTTTATGCTAACATATATACAGGGTCCGTCATAAAGAGCGCATGTTTTTTATATGAGTAGTACAGTCAAAATAAGTATGGGAAAATATTTTATTATATAAAAATACTCAGAAATACATGCCATTTTTTTGAGTAAAACAAAATTTACGCTATAAAAACTATGTCGGCCATATGGCGCCCTTGAGCCGAAATGCAGGAATCAAGCCTGACGTGAAATGAGACGTCCTGGGAATTCTTGCCGAAGAAGTTCCATGGAAGTGCGAGCTGTGTGAGATGTTGCCCCGTCTTGTTGGAACAACACTCTGTTCTGAGACGGACACGTCGACGTCGAAGTTCCGAAAAAAAGTTATCACGCACAGTGAAAACACGATACTCCACGTTCCAAACCATCTTGCCAACTGAAACGGCACTTCTCCCACTATCCAACATGCCCTTCCCCACCGACCGGGACCAGCCCACTCGATGTGGTACTCATTCGAAAAACATGCGTTCTTTCTGACGGTCCCTGTACTATTTATGTATCAATTCGGCTTGCTGACTTGATCTATCCGAAAAAGAAGAAGCGGTACGAAATATCTATTAAAGCTTTAAAAACAGGTTTCAAATGTTAAGACTAACATCTACGAGTTTCAAAATCCATTCACAAATTTTCTTGATATTATTTAATCGCAAGGCAAGAAAAAAAGTCGATACAGTGTTTCTAGGTCCGTCGTTGGACGTAGCTCCCTACTTCTCTGGAATGTCCCGTTACGAAACCTCTATTCCGTCACGACGAAGGAATATTTCGCCTAAAAGTTGGCAATTTTGCCCAAAAAGTAAGCCACTGACGAAAATATCAATTTCCGAGGATTCACACCATTCCGGTCGCTTTAAAATGTAGTATTAATGATATTTAGGGGGCAAAAAATTTGATATTAGGCATGTCTCGGATGAGCAACGGTAGAGCCCTGTTAAAACATTTATAAAAATTCTAAATTCCTTGTATCAACACTTAATTACTGTATGTAAAACTTTTTTTAAGTGCTTAAAACTTTCGACACAGTCTCATTTGGCAACTTTTAGAAACGAATTAAAAAATCTTGTTGTTCAACGTATCTCGAATTTACCAATTGTTTATCTGAAAACATTCGTGAGGCCCAGAATTAGTAAAATCATCCTTTCAAGAAGTTTCTTGAATATCTAATCTAACCTTTACTCTGTATGTATAAATTATCATAAATTATTGAATTAGAATAAGTATTGTTTTAATTCTTTTTTAATTTCTCTTCTAGGCATATGTGCATGGTGATGCGAGGTGTCCAGAAAATCAACAGTAAAACTGTTACCTCGACGATGCTAGGCGTATTTCGAGACGACTCCAAGACTAGGGAAGAATTTTTAAATCTGGTGCAGTCCAAATAAATCCTATTTTCTATTTTCGCTGTTAGGGACTTATGCAACCTTGGCTTGAGCTTGGCGAAGCTGCCTTTTCAGTTATACATTCCTCTTTAGTTAATAGTAATTTGTTTAATTATTGCTTTATGTAATGAATTACATTTTCAGGTATTTTAAAAATACCTTTACCAGTTTATGTTATTCATATAGGCGGGTCTTACAGTTGCTATTATCCTCAATGTCATATCAGTATTTAGCAGTATAAAAACATTAAAAAAACACGATATAGATATATGTCAACCCTGAATTTACAATCAAATGCATAATCTGACATCGTTGAATTGACGTAGCTAAAACTGTCTAAGAAGCACTCGCACTTTTTTTTGAATAAAATTAAATGCATCTGGGCCTCATAAAATTTTATGCCGGTGTTCCAATCATCAAAATCACGAAGTATAAATGTCTTCAGCTGTTGGAGTAGAAAAATTGAAACAAGTGATTGGACCATTTTTACTTCCTACGCCGCTGGCGAGAATATATTGTAATCGTAAAGAATAACGAAAATGAGATATTTTGAATTTTTCCGTGTGTCTGTCTGCTTCGTTTATAGCTGGGAAATTAGTAACTGGATTTTGATGATACAACGTTACTATTATATGCCAGGGACAAAAAAGCTTTGCAGTTTTCGAAAATTGGTCCAGTAGTGGCGGAGCTACAGGCGATAGAAGGGTAAATTAAAAATCGTTCCAACTTCGTTTTTTGACATTCCAGAAAGTGTAAAATAATGAAATAAATGTTCGCAAGTCTTCTAAGAATAGTAAGATACTTCGTGGAATGAATAATTTATTTTATTTTTAGTACCTTTTTCTCAAGCAAATTGTCCTTGACTATTAAAAAAAAGAATTAAACTGATAATACTCTTTCTCCAATCTTAGTCAGCTGTTAGGGTTTCCATAGATGGCCAACAGTAGACATACCAGAGCATAAGAAAGCGATTAAGATACTGCACGTTGTGCGAATTTAAAGTCCATACATTCAATATTTGCCAAATCAACACCGATATTCATTCACATTACGGCCAGATTACACTGATGTTTATAGCTGGCGAACAATAAATATTCCAGAGCGTACAAAATTGATTCTAAATATGATGCATAGGTATACAAAATCCATTTGTCCAGAATTCTTAGGAGGTACATAGTCATCTATGGACGCCATCTTCTTATTTAATATTAAAGGGCACAATAGAAAAATGAAAAGAATGTCAAGGATTTGGGAGTAGGCTTATTCAAGGACTCATCTCTATTTGAGTGCCATATATTTTCTGAACTACGAGCATCTGTAGCTTATATGGTTTGAACAAAATAAAATACTTTATCGAATTCGTGCTAAAACTTAAAAATTTTTTGCCATTTTTGATATGACACTAGGGATGAGTTACTATTCATGTTCTTGTAAAAGTGATGGTATGCCCAAAATTTTAATTAATAATTTTCCAATAAATATTATCTCATTGAATTTAAAATTTGCTGGCATTCATGTGCTTAAATATTATTTTCGAAAATATAGGCTTTTTGTTACTATAGGTTTTCTCTTAGCAAGCTGCTGTTTTGTAAGGAATCAGCTCAATAAAATTGAGTATTGTGCTTAAAAAAATCTACGTACTTGCATCAGCATTTGTATGCAAAGATAACATAGTGGACCACGAAAATATGGGTAAAATGATTGTTGTGACAATATATTAAAAATGTATATCAATAAATAAAATATATATGTATATTAAAGGTTATATGTTTACTGTGATATGGAAATGTTGCATATTTAAATTGTTTTTGTGGAGATTTTATGATATACAAGATACAAGTATGTGTTCTACGCTGTATTATTTTGTACTATGGATACATGTTGACAATTGTAATATTTTCGTAAGCTTGTTGAAGTTCTCATGATTTTGATTAGACTTATATGATATATACTACAAAAAAGACAATCTATATATGTTTATGCATAATAAAATATCAGAATGCAATGTATTTTCATTTATATCTCCGTCTCTTAGTGTGAATACAGTTTCTGATTACCTAAGAATAATTCGATGCAGAATACATTAAGAATGTTACATAGAAATTTTTGAGTTCGAGGTGATTAAAATACACTACAATAGAGTGTTATCATCCCTGGTAGTCCTAGAAAAGAGCCAGAATAGTGTACATGAAAACCCGGCATCTTTGACGCCCACGTCCATTTTTTCTGTTGGAAACCCTTTTGTTCATTTTTCTCTCTTTAAAACGTCATAAGCTTCACTTACCTACTCGATTAACTAGTCTCCTATTAGCATACCGTCGTCGAAACGAATAAATTCAGACTTTCAGGATCTTAATTGGTCTTTGGCTTTTTAAAAACACCTAAAAAAGGTCTATTTCATGGTAAAAGCTTAAAAGATAGTTATCTCCCCCTGTAATACAAGATACAAGTTGTTTATGCATTACCTCCTTCTTCGTCTGCGGTCCAAGCTCTTAGTGTTCTGTGGCTAAGAGTAAAAAACTTACGTTCTGTCGTTCTGTGTCAAATTGTAGTAAAATCGCTCCCACACGATGTGGCGAATGCCTTACAACGTTGGACACATGGCACGTTCGGGCTCTTGCGTTACTTGTCGGTAAATTTGAGCCGCGTCACAGGACGTTATAATGTTGGAAGCATGGTTCGTTAAGATGCGATTCCACCAGTGTGCTGAACTGTGCGGCACTCTAATGCACAGTGTACAGCACAAATGTTTCTTCTGGTCGACTCACTCACGCAAACAATAGCAAATGGTGCGTAAACATTTCGGAAACGTTCGCGAACATCAGTTACTTTTGTGCGCGCGCACATGCAAGCAGTGGACTCGCGTCAGCGGGTACATACTTGTTGTTCGCGAACTCAGTATTGCTCCCGGTCCTGGAGTGAAAACATTTGTTTGTACGCGCACTTCTTTTACGAAATTGAAAATGAACTGGACGAATGATAGGATTATAAAATTTATTCAAGCACTTGAAAATTATCCTCTTCTATGGGATTCCAGTAACACTGATTATAAAAACAGAAACAAAAAACACGGCGCCACTCAAGAGTTGGCTCACAGTTTCAATTGTGACTCGACTGACGTAATGAGAAAATGGAAGATTATTTTGGCTCGGTACCGAAGAGAAAAGAAGAAAATAGCGAATTCAAAATCTTCAGGTTCTGGGTTTTCAGATTTATTATTTGTTATTTTATATTGTTATCACAACTACAGTTTTTAACGCCAAGATCCGTTTCAAGATGTAATGTTACTTTCTTTTGCAGTCGTGCTAACACAAATTTGATTTTGAAATCACCTGAAAGGGTTATGTGTTTGAATTATAATAGTATTTGTAAGTTTTGTGACATACCTATCTTTATGTTCTATTTCGGAGCTAAAATGTGTTCTGCGGGAGCGCCTTAGATAGTTTTATAAGGTAGGCTTTTGTAATATTTCTAATTTAAGATTTTGGCCTATAAATGGAATATTATCTGTTGGGCAATAGAAGCTATAAATAAGCCTTATTGAAACAGGGCACATTTTCTGTAGTTGGTGACTTGCTTTGCAATATGAGGGCTAAGTGCATTGACCAGCAACTTAAAACCTTCACACGATATACGAGTAAAATTTTTAAATCCACTTAAGGGATCTACTTTTATTTCCTCTACAAGTCTATTCGTTTCTTCATTCCATCGCTGCAGAAAAGGCCTCACCCAAGATCGTGGTTTTCTTCTCCGTTTCTGTTTAAGCAGACTACCTATTAAAACACAAGCTGCAGCACAAAACACTACGTATTCCCGCCCATCCATATTAAGAACTGAAGTTAGTGAGAACTTTGCTTGGTAAAGATGTTCGTGCACAAGTGTGCTACACTGTACGCTTACAAAAGTTATGCACTGCTTTGCCGGTGGACACAGAAGATAAATTCGATACCAGTGAGCACATTCAATGCTGGAGTTTCACACAAAATGTTTGTAAACAAATGTGCTGAACACTATTTTGGTGGAATCGTACCATTACGCTCCCACACGAGATGTCATGTGTTTGATGGTTTTAGGTCAGAACCAGTAGCGGCGACATACATTATTTATTTGTTTGCTGTGATTCTGGAGTAGTGGTATGTGGGAAGTATTTTGATTTGAATACCTACCAATTCATAATAATGTATGTTCCGTAACTAACTTTTGAGAAGAATGGATTAAATTAGTATACATACAAAACATAGGCTGTTACAATAGCACTTTTTTCATACTGCTAATATTTTGTACGTTTCGCAGGAGTTATGGCTGGCCTAAGGATATGTATTTTAGTAAATTATAAATCATCAAGTGCTTACAGTTGTTCCATTATAATGTCCTGTTGCAATGCGACTAGTTGAGAAATATATTGACTTGCATTTCATAGCTAACGAAAAGGATTAAATAAATGATAACTCTAAAAGTACTATCACGATTTTGATGAAATGTTGACCCTATTTTACTGCTATGAAAATGAAAAAGCTCTGCAGTTTTTGAAAATCGGTACATTGGCGGTGGAGCTATCGTCGGAAAACAAACAAAAAACGGTCACACTTCGTTTTTCGAAATTTTTGAGGCTTCTGACAGACTTAAGTCTTGATCGCTGACAGATCTGAATTTATTTTTCGGTGGTCGAAAAAATTATTTCATCGTTTATTTTGTATAATTTTTCCTCCAGTTGTAAAGGTTCAAGCGCGACACTGACACCGATAATAGACGTTGGCACCACCACGCGTCGAACGTCTGAAACTAAAAAGTTCATCGCATCGTGTAGGAGTCACACTTGCCAATTGTGGGGTGTCGAACGTTGTAAACAACGTTGTATACAACATTGTAAAGAATGTTGGAAGCATAGTGTGGGACCCACATAATAAATGTTGTGGTATCCCAGTGACAATGACAGCATGTGAAAAAAAAAGGAAACATCTCCCCCCTTACCTTTGTCTGACTCAAGCAGATTTTTATTATGTACACAGAAATTACATATAATTAACTTACCGTGAACTGAGTGACCTGTTTAAATATCTTCTATTGTTAATTAGATTCGCCTTTCCAAGTCTTTATGATGACTGAAATCTGTCTTTAGGCTTAGAAAGTCGCAAATATGTCGCACACTAAAGTGCCTGATGTGGAAAACGTCGCCAAGACTGGTAGAGTAACAGCAGTTTGTCAGGAATGGACTGTTAGAGAAGACAGTGCTTTAGCATACAGGTTGCAAAACCAGGAATTCGATCAACACCTTTCAGGCAACAGACAGCGAAATGCTTTGATCAGAGAAGACTTTCCAAAAGCTAAAGATGAACAGATCAGGGAGCAAAGAATGGCCGAACAGGCTGCAGCGATTTACCAGCAGATGCTGGCAGAACAGGAGGAAATAGATAATAGAATTGCAAAGGAACTAGCGGACAAAATGGAGCAGGAAGAAAGGAGGAAGCGGAAAGCTGTTGAGCTGCGAGATCAAGAGATTGCTAGACAGCTAATAGAGAAGGAGAGACAGAGGGTGGAGAAATTGCATCAAATGACTGGTTTTTCACATTCTGATCAGGGTGAGGATACAATGTAGTCAGAAAATAAATAAATATATTAATCAGTCTGGCTTATGTTTGTAAGTTGTTTGCAGAGCATACTTTGTACTACTCTGTGACAATATTGGCGTTTGTAATTGTTTGATGTACATGTTTGATGTGTTCACAAACAGAACAAAGTAATCCTTCTGGAATGTCAGAAGTGTGCTTTCATTCCTATGCTGGAAACCTTGGGGATAATGTGCTCAAAATTGGCAGAATACTAGTTTCATAGTAAATGGTCTACCTCATATCCATGTTCTTTTATAATTTACATGGTTGCAGAAAATCTAGTTACAAATTAGTCACTGTCAAAGTGTCATCACATTATTCAGTAAGCCATTCTAAGAATTAAGCTTGACAGAATTCCAAAGTAAAATTTCATCTGTCAAATCTACATTCTATTACTCTGTGGTACTATCTTACTAAGTAATTTACAAATGTACTGCTGTATTTGTTCACATCATACATTAATAGTATTGATTTGTTATTGAATGATTCATGCCTATTTGTTTAATAATAGACCATTTTAATGATCCTGTAATAGATTATCATGTCCATGACAAAGGAAGCAAAGCAAAAAAGCTGTGCAAACAAAACTGCTTGGCCTTTAACCAAAATGATTCTCCTTTCACAAAATTATGAGTTTAAATTGAGTACATAAAATTCTTCTTAATCTTTTTTCTCTATTCCTGCTGAAATGTATACCTAAGAAATAATTAATATTTTAACATCCAGCAATGTGAACACAGACTAGATAATGACATTTAAGAGCAAACACGATAATTTGCTATATTGATTAATTTTAATTCCAAAATTAGCTATTCAGCTACATTTTTCATTGTTCCTAAAGAAAAACTGAAAAGTGAAATATTCATAAAAAATAAGAGTATCATTATTCACAGAATTGATTTACTTTAACAGTTGTGCAACTTAGACAGTTTTTTGTAATTGAAACATTTTAGGTTTATTCACTGTATTTCCAGAAGTTTTTTATAAATATTTGAGTCTTGCAACATCTAGGTATCTTTTTTCTGTGGATTTCAGCAACTACTATATTGAGTTAAAATTGAAACCATATTACATTACATTTTTGGAACATTTGATTTTAATGTATTTTTAGAGAACAATTTGTAAGAGATTCAAAAGGTGTACTCAACACTGGAACCCACATTTTGTGTTGACAGTAGGCAAGCTGCGCAAATTTCAAAAAATCATCTAATAGAATCACTGCCATGTTATGGGCATCACAAACACTGAATTTCAATCCTATAGGGCTTTGCAAGGAGGTTATAAAAGAAACAAATTGAAACTGCTCAATTTTGCGGCGGTGCCAATTCAGATTTGGGATGGACTAAACCTAAATTATTCTAACATATTGTGTAAAGATTTTCTTTGCCAAAATAGGTATACTCGTTATTTACGCAACTTTTCAACCCTTTCTGCATTTTGTTGTTTCATCAGTATTCATATAAAAGTTAAAGTGCAAGTAAAAAATACAAAAATGCAAAACTACAATATTTTTTCAGTTTAAACTGCTCGTAGCTGCTCCATGGACGTATCATATTTATTATGAGAAAACATGTAATGATACCTGATATATAAAACATGAGCCACATAAATACAGTAAATACTCCCACTTATTGCTGAAGATGGTTGATATTTACTAAAAAATGATTTAAACAAGGCAACTGATTCTGACAAAAATAAGGTCTGGAAAAGACTGAGTCCTATAAGTACACAGGTTGTAAAATGTGTCTTTAACAAGATAAACAAATTACTATAAAATTTCTATGCCACTGTTGGCGCTGACAGCATAGAGTATTATTCAAATGATGTTGGCTGATATTCAAAATATAATTTTCATCAAATCACAGCAAACTTTCAACGTTTTTTATGGATGGATATTTCCTTGAATACTCAAACTGATTTTCTTCCAGAAGTTTACCATTAGTAGTGATTTATGTAAAAATAAATTCCTTATTGGAAAAAATATACATATCTACCTGCTACTACATTGTTCTTCAAATGCCCTATCTCCTTATGTGATTGGAAATGATCTATGAAACATTCTACACTTCCTGATTTTTGTCACTTATATGCTAAAGCAATCTATTTATTTGATATAGGCCTAGTTCCAGATCTGTCTCCACAGAAACCAGTACAGCCTTTCCAATCAGTCAGACCAGAAATGTACCCAGGCCCTCACCTATCGCCTCTCAGACCCACTACATATAACGCAAACCTCCCTCCAAGACGCCAAGCACCTCCTATGCCTCTTCCCCTTAATAACTCACCCTTCCCTGAACTACCTGCCAGGAATACCCCAACAGAGCACCCATTCCCAATGAGGACTAATGTCCAAGACTCTCCATTCAAAAACAACAACTTTGACGAGATCAGCAGTGCCGAGGTGTACAACGAGCCATATTCTCCAGCTGTCAAGAATCTGACTGACCAGATGGATAGGATAGATGTGGTGGATGTAGGTCTGCCATTGGACGAGTTGACTGAGAGGCAGATCCAGGAGGAGAGGGATGCTGAGTTGGCCAGGAAGTTGCAGGAGCAGGAGGGGTCGTTGGAGGACTCCATTTTGAATCGTGATAGGTAAGGCAATTAAAAACGTATGTGGAAAGATTTTCATTGATTCTTGATAGAAGATTCATGATAATTGTAGAATTTCTGACTGTTGAAATCATACATGAAGCGCAAATAATTCAATCCGCGTTTGCTTGCTAGGAGCGCTGAGAGTGCCAACAAAAACGCCATCAACTTTACGTCACACTCAATGACCATCTATTAGATTTCTGGAGTTCCAAGCTGAAGCTTGTTGAAATTCCTTTAGACCAGAGTTCCCCAAACTTTTTTGTGTCGTAGACCCCTTGCCATGTTTTTCAGTGTTGGGTAGACCTCCTACTTACCTGATATTGATTTCCTGTAAATTTTTAACCGTAGTGAAGTTTAGTCTTAAAAACTTAGAGTAAAAACACATGTTAATTTATGCATTTATTAATTGAATTTAAATTAAAACTACTCAAAATAAAATTTTGTATATGTTATGTAAAATATACGTAACATTAAATAAACAGATGTCTGACCAATAAGTGGCCGCATTGGGAATAAGTGCCCGCATTGAAAAAAAAATAAGAGGGATAAAACAAAAAAAGTGAAAAATAATAAAAAAAAAGTTTTTTACTTAAAATAGTACAATAAGCGAGTTCGTTTATTAATTATAACATAAACGTATGCTCTACAATAATTTCACTGTTAGTTTGATTAAATTCTGCTTCTTATTAGTTATCTAAAAATAGGCAAAGAGTAACGAATTCTAGTGTGTAACTATCCTTGAATTTTCAGAATAATTAAAAAAAAAATATTTTCTATAAAGGGGGTTCTTTAAAAAACTCAATGCGGGCACTTATTCCCAATGCAGGCATTTATTGGTCAGACACCAATAAACAAAAAATAATCTATAAATAAAATAACATAAGCAATAAGTCAATATTTTTAGTGAGAAGGATGAACCTGATGCTTTAATAATAAATTATCAACATTTGGCGTCAATTTTGTAAGGGTTAATCTTAAATCTCCTCGGCTAAAGATGTCCAGTCTGTTTCTTTTTTTCGTTAGGAGATTGGTAACAGCGCTGAACCCCCTTTCCACTAGGTATGACGATGGAAAGGAAATTATATATTAAATTAAACTGAACCTTAAGTTCTTCGTTTGTACTTAGTTCAGTCAGTTCCTCTTGTATTATGACATTCGTTTCTTCTATATCATCATATGGATTAATTATCCACGGTGGTATTACCATAGTCAAAATATCCCCAAACCTAGATTCAAAATCTAAATAGAGGGCATTTAAATGTTGAACGTAAGTTGAAACGTCGTCTTCCTGGCAGCTTGTCTGTGACAAATTGGGGAACTGAGAAAATTCGCCCCGACCAATATTTTGCTTCATTAGTTTAACTCTGGCAAGAAACGCTGATAAGATGGACTTTGTTTTAATCAAATTTAAACTGTCGCCTTGTAATTGCAAATTAACCATATTAAATTTTGTAAACAAATCTGTTAAATAGGCGATGTCTGTTTTAATCATCATTAAATTTTCTTTTAAAATTTTATCTTTAGTATCCAGAAATTCTAAAATAGTCTCAAAAAGTGCAAAAAATCTTGTCAAACATAAGCTTTTCGACAGCCAGCGTACTTCAGTGTGAAGGAGTAATTGATGAAAGTGTTCATTTTCTTCACACAACTGCGCAAATAACCGCGTATTCAAGGCGTTGCTTCGGATTCGGTTTACTGCATCAATGACTAAATGAAGTGATTCATGCAATATAACACTCAAATTTTTAGCAACTAAATGTTGTCCATGGATGACGCAATGTATTGCTAACACCCCTGACACATTTTCTTTTAAATAGCTTATAAATCCACGATAACGACCAACCATGGCAGGTGCTCCATCTGTAGCTACTGATATTATATTTGATAAAGGAATTGCTTTTTCAATGAAGTAATCCTTCAAAACATGAAATATAGATTCACCTTTAGTGTCTGTTATCAAAGTTCTTGCGAAGAGCAGTTCTTCGTAGATTTCTTGATTCATAATAAAACGAACATATGCCAATAATAATGCTGCATTATCAGGTAAAGTTGACTCGTCCAGTTGTATAGAGAAATGGGTCGTTTGTAAATAATTACATAAGAAGCTTTCAATATCAGAACTCATTTCATCAATACGTCTTCCAACAGTATTGTTGCTTAAGGGAATTCTTTTAATGATATCAGATGCAGGTTTGTGTAAAACAGTTTTTAAAACCTCTTCAACGGCTGGCATAATTAAATTCTCTCCGATAGTATGTGGTTTTCCGGATTTTGCTATAAGTAACGAGATATTGTAAGACGCCCGCAAACCATCATCATTTCTTTGTGACGTCGAAGCGAACATTCTGTCCAGTGTAGGTCTCTTATGAAATTTATCTTTGAGTGTTTGAAAATATTTCAAATCTTTCTCTGTTTTATCAGGGTGGCATCTTCTCAGATGATCTTGCAGTTTAGATGGCGTCATTGCCCAAAACTTTGTTGCATAAAAGGCACATAGGCGATTGTTTGTCCGGCAATGATGGAATGAAGCCAAATTTCAAATAATCAACACTGTACTGTCTACATTTCTTTTTAGATTCGGACATGGAATCAGTCATCTGTGGGCAAAATTAAATTATTTAAATAAGACAGAAAATCCAGCAGCTGTATATTAAAAATATTTTTTGATTTTTCCGAAAACATTCCATAATTCGAACATATTCTTGTAACAATCAGCTCGAATTACGGAGATTGCACTGTAAGTATATTACCGATTGCTAAAACTTTCAAAAAGAAACTATTGAGGAGTACTCGTGTAATTTTGCATGATTGAATATTTAACTACTAATATCTAAAGTCATGATTGGCGTAATTTATCTATCTTTGCTAACTACGAGTAAAAAACTAAAATTTAATAAAAAATAATGTACTTACTTTTCTCCAGCACTCTCAAACAAAATAACACTGACTCACTATAATTTGTGTGATATACTGTCTGTTTATATTTTTTTAAATATTTTCTTAGCCCTTTCCTTTTCAAGATTCAGGCAACGAATAAACGTATTTGTCCCACATTCGTATTTATAGAGTGACGAATTGAACAAATCAGTGCAAGGTAGCGAAGCTCTGAGACTGCGACTCTCAGGTTTTTACAAGTTCAAAATGTATTGCGACCACAAAGCGAATACCAACATCCTACAACTTACACAATTTAATAAACATATATAATACATTTTTTACTTCATAGGTACTTTTATAAATAATGTATATGTTTTTTTTTATATTATAAGATAGTATGATGTAAGTAAATAGGTACTATCAGTGTATATGTTGAGATCCACTATCGTGGACCCCCATATTCATTTCATGGACCCCCAATTTTTTTTTCGCTGACATAGACCCCTTGCAGGTTGTCATAGACCCCTAGGGGTCGATATAGACCACTTTGGGAATCAATGCTTTAGACTGTCTGCATGACATTGCTGTTTTCATAATCACTTAAGTGACCAAACTACTATAGTTTTCCGAAGAACCAGGTATGCGGCTTTTTTATAAAATTTTAAATTGCAATATTCTTTGGTTCTAGAATGTTAGCTATAGAAGCGCAGGATAAGGAACTAGCAAAAATGTTGCAAGAGCGTGAACGTGCCAAAGCAAAACGAGCTAGAGAAAGAGCAAAGCAAAAGGCGCTTGCGAAAAAGCAACAACATCAACAGCCGATAGATCGTCCTAATGACCAGTTGATGCCTGATGATTCATATGCTTTCCCAGCTGATGTTTTGCCTTCACATGCAGGCAGCGTTCCTAGGTAACTGATTTTCTATCATTATTATTTTTTACCCGCCCGCAAGGGTTAACCTTCTGCTGTTTTTTCATTGATTTGTTCCGACATACATTGTTTTGAGTATAGTGTTTGTTTTGAGGACAAATTAATATCATTACTATAATTAACCCATATATTTTTTTAGGGCGCTTGCTGCACACCCAGACTTGTACGCTGTTCCTAATGCCGAAGAAGACATCAGTTATAGTTTGCCGGCAGACGTGCTGCCACAAAACGGCAAGTGTTATAGTCCAAATAAAGGTGAAAGTCACAACGCGGAAGGAAAAGAAAGCAATAGCTTGAGTAGCGGAAGCTGTAATCCGTCTTTAGAAAGAGGTGCGGTGGCCGCGTTAAGGCCTACACATCTAGATCTCAGGTAGGGAAAAATGACTTGTTACGATAGCCACTTGCAAACACTATAATGGATGGAAATTTTAGTTTTCTTTATGCAAGTTGGTAAACTAGGTCCACTACTATTTCTTTTATGCATTAATTTCATTTGTAATATTTTAGATTATTGTAAAATTCAGATATTTGCAAATGATATATTAATATACATATCAAATGAGAATATAGACACTGCTTAAAAATGCTAAACTCTGGATTGGCAAAAATCATAAATTGGTTAAATGTAAATAAACTACAATTGAATGCTTCTAAAACACAATGTATGGTATTAGGGAAATACCTAAATGGAAATAGTATCACAGTCAGGATAAATGGTGAAATAATTGCAAATGTATCAGTTAAATATTTAGGTAAATATATTGATAGTAAATTAAAGTTTGAGGATCATTATGAATACATTGTTTCAGAAATAGCGAAAAGAATAAATTACTTTTATAGGGATTCTCATAGTCTTAGTACATATTCCAAAAAAAAATGTTTATAATACAATTATATTAAGTATTGTTCAACTATCTCGTTTACTGCCAATGAAGCTGTATTCGCAAAATTACAAGTCCAGCAAAACAAAACTATGAGAATAATTTGAATAAAAATGAATTCACAAAAATAAAAACTATGTTACAAGAATTGCAGTGGTTGAATATACAAAATTTTGGTTCTTATTTTTATATTTAATATAAAAAATCATCACAACATTTAGAACACCACATAGAATTGAATAATCGTTACCACAATTATTATACAAGAGGAAATATAGATTTTCATTTATAAAATTGAAATAGCAATATAACTAGTAAATCAGTATTTCAGAAAGGATTAGTTGAAATTAATAAACTAAATAATGATATAAAGTCTCCTTGTAATTTAAAGATTTTTAAAAGAAAATTAAAGACATATTTCATGGACAGTGAAAATTCTTAGAGATGCTAATTTTGTTTTCCTAAATATCTGTATGGTATGTAATTGTTGTAGTTTTTTAAAAGAATGTAATTGTAGCAATCATGCTAAATGAATCTGAAACAAACAAAAGTTCTGGATCCTGCGGCAGGCAAAACTTTTTTATTTTTTGTTATATGGTCGTTTAAGTATGATGGTGGGTGACGTCTGTCTGTTCACAGAATGGTCATTTAGCGTAGGCCAAAGGCGTAGGAGCCTTCTGCAATTTGAGCTTATGGTTTGAAGACGTATCAAGCTTTGGCAAACTATTTGTACGCTGAAGTTGTCAGTGCTGTAACTTCATTGTGCACAGACAGTTAGTTTTTAACCTAGTATATGACCCGCTCGATCTCCTAGGTCACTCTCTGTGAAGCCATCAAAACTAATTAGTGTTCTGTGTTCATCTGAAGCTCAACACTCAACTCAATAAGAAATGAACCTGGTATGTTTGACAGAGTTCAGAAGTCTTATTGGTGGTTTGAGGATTGGCAGATTTTGAAGAAACTTACCGGTAGTGGAAAATTATTCCTGTCAAAGAAGGCATTTTAATACATTATCACAGCTGATTTCAAACTGCTCTATCCATCCATTGCAATACTGTAATTATTAGAATGCTGTGAAATGAAATTCAGTCATTTTAGTAATCTTTCATTAATTTCATTTGAGATGATAAAACGATGACCAATAGCACAGAAAAAGCACATTGTTAATCAGTATGACGCAATGAATGCGCGTTTTTGTTTAAACCCCTAACATATTTCTATTCACCACCCTATTACGTCCAGGATGACATTCCACATAGATTTTTGTTAAAATCTCTAATATTAATCATGCTTTTATTCGTGTTCAGAGAGACCCTTCGGTTCGATTTTCTTCAGAATTGCTGTTGATGCTGGGCTCTCTGTTCAAGTGCATCATTCCAATGTCCAACAGGTACTGCGGCGGTGCCACATCAGGATGAGCCTCGTACATATAGACGCAAAATGCTCTTGTAGATCTGTAACAAATTATTGATTAGAAATTTTATCAGATGTAAGTACCTATTTCTAACATCTATCTATGCAAAAACCTGGCTAAAACTGAAAAAATGCCCTTCCTACGCAACGGCATCAGTTTGTAATGGATTAAGTTCAGAGCAATTTAAATCTTTAGAGAGAAAAGTCATTTACGAACATGTACAACAGAAAAATTAAACAGGCTTAAATTCCCTGTAATCACTGGGATCAAAAGCTTCTTAATAATAGAACGTGTTTCACTGATTTCACCCCCCCCTTTTTAAGCGGAACAATTTTTTTATGTCACTTTTTCTTTTTTGCACATAGCACCGTTGCCAGTAGAGTAGAACTACAAAGCTTTGGCAGTGTGGAAATTTCATAAAAATCCGAGCGGTAATTTCCAAGTTGATGATGGATGAGTGATACAGTTTTTAGTGATGTAGATGCCATATGACTTAAAAAACATAACATCTCATTTTAGAAATTTTTCGCGATTACAATACTTCCTCGCCAATGGCGTGGGAAGTAAAACGGCTTTAAAATCGAGGAGTATCAGCGATCGCGATTATGAGTACCTATTTACAGAACGCCTTATCTACGAGATATTATATGACAGGGCCACCAAATTATCTGAATACGTCCTTTCTTAGTCCGTACATTGCGCCGCAACGCTTGTGTTGGCAGCACGAAACAGTAGACAAAATTCGTCCAAAATACGATTTGTAGAGGTTTGCGCGCTTCGGAATTGACGCTTTATTTTTTGATATTTTTGCCTCAGGCCCTGCCCTATTGGTAGTGTTTGCCCATCTGGCAACGTTGACCCTTTCTACATATGCATATTTCCGAGCATTCACATTCGCTCGAATTGTTCCTATTTGCAGGAACGCGACTGATTCAACACAATTGGTATCATTGAGCACGACTTCGCAAAAAGCAGGATGACACAAACTGAGTTATTATTTTCTTCTGTAAACAGTAATATAAAAAAATCATCTTGAAGACAAATTCAATAAACCTAGCAAAACTAATCTTAGTGCCACATGGGTTTTTTACGAGTGATCTCTAATAATCCCTTATGCGAGTGATTTCAAAAATATTTTCCATACCCACTTTCCGTACAAATTATAGGTTTGCAAGTGCGTCATTTTATGAAGGATGTTAGAAATATAAACCTTGATCTTTGTATCATTGTGGCTCGATTTTATTATTGACTATCCGGCGTTCAGAATTTCATTCGCGGATCAAAGTTGACTAATCAGAAGACGTTTTTGAAGTAATGGATCTAAGATACTTGATTTCTTCTAAAATATCTTTCAAACTAGCGAAAAAATATACGATTTGTGCACGAACGGCCTCTAATCCTGATTTTAAATCAAGGAATTCTCCATGATTCTCATGGGATAATAGAAAAACCTAATTTTTCATTTAATACGTGGATTAATATTGGCCAATCAGAAGGCATTTTTGAAGAATTTAATGAATATACATAGTTCTTTTCTTCTAAACTACCTCTCAAACTAGAGAACAATTATACGATTTGTGTAAAAAGGGCCTTTAATTCTCATTTTAAATCAAGTAATTCTTAACTACAAAACACTATTTTTTTTTATTTGAACCTAGGAGCAAAATTTGTTCAAACAAAGCCATATTTGACCAATCAAAAACAAGAATCATATCTACGTTGTAAATAATAGTACCAAATTTAAAAAAAAACATAAATACTCCAGGAATTTCAAAAAACGGCTAGGTACTTCGGTTGTTAATGGGGTGAAGATTTCAACAATGTCTTAATTAACTCCTATTATGAACATGTTTTCCTCTTTCTGGGTTTGTTGCACGTCAGTCCAATTTTTGTCATTGCAGTAAAAAATCCTGTCTAATACATTTTTTGATTGATTGAACTTACAACCTTCGGTTAAATATTCAATTTACTTGACTACCGAACAAAATATTCTGTTTCTTTTCAATTATTTTCATGTTCAACACGTATTTAGAGCTAGCTTGCCTAGCTTATCGGCACACCATTCTGCTATTTGTGTTCAATATTTCGTATCAGGTGAAAGGAAACGCGGACTACAGAGACTGTTGCAACTACCACCCGTGCACCTTCTTTCTTAACAAGCTAATGATAAATATAAATAATATATTAACAAACAAGTGTTTGTTGTTCCTACCCATGGTATTTGTTTTTAATAACACTTCTTTTTCAACTCAAAAGTGCCGAAATGGAGTGCAATACGAACCAATCTAACGTTTATTTTTTGAATCTACACCTTTGCTTGAGTATCACGACACGTCCTTCAGCAATTCGGTGCGGCTGCACTGGACGACTGATAAAATGCATGTCACATGAATAAACACCTTTTTTAAAAGATACACAATGTTACATGCATATTTGGAATACTGTTATTGTAAATATGATCGTTGCCGATATTTCTTTTCACATAAATATCTCTAAGACCCAAATGGTGTGCTAGCCAAACATGCCGGGAAACAATGGTTCACATATCTACAAACTACAACATTTAGCGACAGTGTAATGGATATCTTGATGAATTTTATTTAAAATATATAATTTTTTCCTAAAACTACTTCTTTCAGCTATGTTTTGATATTGTTATTTTTAATAAAATGCTTAGTAATTGCTGTCATATCAATCTATTGTATTAAATTTGATCCATGGTTCATTAACGCATTCTTTTTGATTGTTCAATTTTAATCAGTGAATCAAATTGTTATCCTCGGATCAAATAAAAAATTATGTTTTTGTAGCTAAACCAGATGATTTATAATCAATTTCATGATTTAATATGGGGATTAGAGGGCCTTCTTACTCAAGCCGTGCAGCTTTTCGAAAACGTAAAAAAGAAATTGAAGAAAAATACTAAATATTCGTTTGGTAAGAAATTTTAAGTATTGACCTGTCATATGTTTGTGTAACTCTTCATAAATTTGCAACATTTGGGACTGTCAGCTGTGTTCACCCAGATGGCTTTTCACGATATAGGTAAACATATGCAGCTCTGATGAAGAGAAACATCGAGAACGGCGGTGACGTTCTGAGAATACTCGCAGAGTATCAATAGGATCTTGAAGATGCTCATATCAAATCGATAACTACGTTATTGCTCTAGGAATGGGCCAATTTCGGTTTTTCAAAAGAGGTGGGCCAATTTCGGTTTTTCAAAAGAGGTTTACTTATGAACTAGGTCATCCTAGACACCACGACGTCTGGTTGGATTCTGACTCACATAGTACATTATACGTTTTGACGTAGGAGGCGTTTGTGGGAGGGGAGGGTGGTACTATGTTATTTATTGCTTTTTGGAACTTAATATCTCGATTATCTTAAAGCTTTGGTATGGATGTTATTAAAAAAACATGCTTATATTTATCAGACTTACACGTGCTCTAGACGAAAGTCTCAACTTTGGTTATATGCTGTAGATCCATTATTTCAAAAACAAATAAAGAAACCGGATAGTGAAATCGGAAATTAGAAGAAAACAATTTGGTATTTTGGTAAACCGTTACTTACTTGAGATGGGTGATGCCTTGCCAAACAGCTGCCATACTTTCCAATCTTTCTGGAACGTTCTGACAACGCATCCACTGGTCGGACGCCACCTTGTTTCCGGGTCGGACTTGCATGTCGGTAGGAAGGCGTCTGCCGAATGCCATGTAGCGAGGTTTGCGATTCGCCGCTTTCTGGTCCCGACGAATCTCTCTGTGCAGCATGTTCGTTCTACCTAGAATTTCCAAAACAAATTAAAATAATGCGAAAAGTATTTACCGGTATCTTCACCGATTTTGGCAGATCACTGTAAAACTGTCGATGCCTCTTTCATACTTAGATGAAAGGGCTTAGTCGAAGGTTTCATGACTAAATATCTATGCACCTTTACCCTTATATAATTGTTCTGTCTCATATATTAGATATTAAAGAAACGCATACTGGTGCTGGAATTTCCTTTTTATAATAATTGTATGTTCATAACCTCTTTGGGGAAGGCCGTGATATTCAGCGATATCGTTTGGAATGGAGGGCATCTCCTTCATCCTGACGCACAAGCTCTTAGCGGATTGCATCTGGGTAGCGATCTCGAACATTTCTATCACATTCTTGATGGAGACAGGTGATTCTTTAAACGTATGTTTCGCCCAGTTCACGAAATCGCTGGCTATTTTCACTGCCAATGCGTCGCTCTTTTGATTAAGATTCATCTCCTAGAATAGTATTAGATAGCTAAGAAAAAAATCACTATTTAATTCAATTCAATCGACAAATAGAGTACTGTCACAAATGGCGAATTCTGGCCATACATACTTAACATTACTACCTTAACTTAAAATCTAACCTAAAGGAAAATACTTAGGTATCAGATAAAATGTTATCCGAAAGCAGATAGCCTAAACGGCCTAGGTATCACTCCGACAGACAATCAAGATACATAAAATAAGATTGAAAAAATAGAATATTAAAAACTTTGTTTACCTACGACCGACTTGCCGTCACAGATATATATACACAGAATTGAATGTTTGTAAAGTAGATAAGCTGTTGGAATTAGAACAATGTCAAATGATTTTAAAAATTTTAAATATCCACCAAAAGTGTAATACAAACATTACACATATTCGGATCACACATGTGATCACATAATAATTTGTACCAGATTCCTCCTAAAACTAATATAGTACTAAATAACCCTGTCACTGATGCAGTAAAAACTTATAATAACCTACCAAGTAGTGTAAAAAATGTACATTTTTTCAGAAATTATGTAAAAAGACTCAAAACTCACTTGAATTGTTGAATCTATTCTAGCTATAATTCGCACTTTAAATATTGTAGTTCTCGAGGCCAGTGTTTTAAACACAGATTAGAAAACTTTGTTTTCTATAAAGTTTCTAAAAATTGATTATTGAATGAAGATGTTCAACAAAAAAAGAAAAAACACGAACATATAATTAAAACAGGAGAGACAAAAATAATTGAGCATTTAATACTTATACGAGTACATTTAATTCTTTTTTTGGAAAAGTTGCTAATAAAGTTTTCGTCAAATGTGAATTAAACTCCTATAAACAAGCTTTTGCACAACAGGGAGCAGATGTTTTTAATATTTTCATGACAAATGTGACAAAGTTGTATTTGAACATAGCGGATATCATGAAAGCTATTGAGTGGCAAACGTGATAGTACTTTCGTAAATTGTTTATGTAGCGGGGAGTGTTTTGAATTTTTTGCAGTCTGTAGTTGGTTATTTCGTCCAGATAGGGATAATAAAATCAATATTCAGTAAGCTATTTTACTCAGTATCAATGAATCTCATAACATTTTCTTATTTTTTATATTTGCTATAGCTTTATTTGTATATCGAAATCTCCGAGATAACTAGACTTACACACATGGCTAACATGCTCCTGGAACCTGACATCTCCATTCAAATATAAACCTAAATTCTTTGCGGAATGGAAAAATGTAACTAAGATATTATTGATATTTATGTGCCATAACATAAAACAAAAATATACAAAGTACTCCAGAGTATATTCTAGAAATAACAATTTTTGAAGTCATAGCACGGAAGCAATAGTTTGGTTTTTCGTTCAGCCTAGTCTTTTAGATGTTTTGTGAATGGAAAGATGTTGAAAATCTTGAGAGCCGCTCCGACAAACAACAACGGATAGTAGTATGCAAGTTTCATTACCTTCCAAGAAAGCGGTGGTAATTCCCTCCATATCGCTGCTCGGTGAGGAGGCCTTTTGAAGAATTTCACGTATGGATTTTTTGGATCTATAAGCTCTTCTTTATCCTTATCTTTGACTGTTAGTTTTATTGTGCTGTTGAACACTGATGCGTCGGTTACAGTTGATAATGACTTTTTCCTTAAATCAAAAAAGTGTTTCAGGTATATAGTATTGATCAACACACTATTGTTACTTCGATAGATTCTGCCTGGTACCGATTCGTCAGCATAGTACTGATACAAAAAATTTGTGACTTTTCCACCGTGAAATAAATAATATAAGTTCAAAAAAGGGGCCACAACAGCAATGAGAAGCACTTTCGATCGAATTGAATGAGTACCTACCAAATTATTAGTGTCTATTTGACCGGGGGCCATTTGCCATAAGGAACGTGAAATTAATGTCCTTTGCCTGCTTTTACATGCACTATATTTTTTTGTATACTGTGTAAAGTCCCAACTTTGCGGATACCTTGTAGAAATATTATAACACTCGGTATCTTTAAATCAGATTTTCCCACATTCAATATACATTCTATGGCGCATCAGATCTTCCCAGATCATATATATTTTGTCAAACTGTACTCTACCTTTTAACGTTAATCTCTAGCAGTTCATCCTCATCTTCTTTCTCAATCGGCTCCTCCGGCGTGTACTGTTGATGATCGTATTCCAAAATCCTGATGATCCTAGCCAAAACCTAGGTTATTGAAATTAGTCATAAAAGTCGTGCAATTCGGTAGAGAAACAAGAGTCGCTTTTATGCACTCAAAACAATTCTACATTTGATAAATGTTACGATCCGTCTAACCTTAATCCAGAAAATAAGTAATTTTTGTCACTGAGTAATTTCAGTAATTGTGGCAGCGATTTGTATGGAAGATGAGGTGTAGTAGATAATTCTGGTTCACGGCATCGCTGTGCCCTTTCCATTAAAATCGTTACAACGGTTACTGAGGCTACACAGTGACAAAATGGCGAATAGACAGAGTGAAGGCGGATCACATGTTCCCCTGTCTCTCCTCCAAGCCCGAAGCCTTCAGCATTGCCAGATCGAACGCTACATCACTTAATTTACACATAACGTACGTCTAGTGCGGAGTATGCCGCTCGTCTGTTTAGATACGAATTTTTAACTTTCGCTTCTAATAATTGAAGAACCAACAATGTGTCGACAAAACTTAAACGATCTTTTTCGAAGAAAGTTTTATTATCTACAAAAGAGGATGGTAGACTTTACTGGATTAGATTGTTAGTTTAGGCATTATTAGCGAAAATATTCTTACATGTACCTTTTTCCTTTAATTTTTCATCGAATCATTTAATTTAATTCCCTACAAAACTGTTCCTATTACGCTATCTTATAGGATCGCTGGTTCTCGAGATTTTTGACAAAACGCGTTTATCAAAATGGCGGTAAATGCTCCAACCTCCAACCATATCAGGGCGCCAATTTGAACTTATCATTAGGAAGTAATAATCCAACGATATTACTGAAAAAAAAAATCTGCTGTCGCTCAAATTGTGGGATAAACAAAATCTTTGTTCTTGCCCTACCTCTCGAGGTAAGACTTGCCGCAGCACGTGGATATTTCGCTCCGGTTTGATGGCTGCATCACCTTCCATAAGCGCGAACAGTCGCTCCCACCATAGTTTCGTCTCTGGGGAGTTGCGCTCCAGCTTGCATGCATCTACCATTCGGTCACGGCTACATCTCTTCTGGATCGACATTTTCGATGTGTGAAATAAGCTGGTTGTTCTACGTAAAATTACATAATAATGTGGTGAAAATGACGTGTTGTCTCAATATTAAGTAATAGGTTATGTTACGATTTATTCGACATACCGGACGAATGCATATTTCGGTAGCATTTAAAGGTCGCGACAAGCGGGTCTGAAAAATTGAGAATCAATGGCTCTAACGCTTTTTTAGTATACAGTACTCAAAAAAATAAAGGGAGCAAGAAAAAAAATTTGTTTTTGGAGATTTTTGACGGGTTGTATTTTGGTGGAAAAGGGTCGTATCTAGACTCTAAAAAAGCATGTTGAAGCTCAAGATTTTAGTTTCCAGGGTTTTCAACCGAAACATTTCAGGAGCAAATGTTCTCATGCAATTTTAACAGCTAGCGCAAGAAATTTTGTTTGCAAAACTTTTGCCTACTTTTTACTCCACGACCTTGAAAGATATCCCGTTTATTCTTTTTGAATACTATGTTTTTAAAATCTCGATATGATCATTTGGCGCGGAGATACGAGACTTTGAATGAAAAGGACCCTTTTGTCATCGACCACATATAGAAATAGAGAGAATATAAGGATATTTCCGAAAACTGGAATAAATCTTATAAGATTTGATTGCAATCGTTGAGGATTTTTTTTCTTGCACCCTTATTTTTTTTAGTAGTGTTGGTATTTTTATGTATTATCAGTGAGCAAACAAACCCAAAAGATTTACAAAGTTTTACAATTAAAATGCAGAAGTGAGACGCATTTTAACGTTAAGCCTGATATTACAGAGATTACGATTGGTTTTGTCAATGTTTCCATTAAAATAATAAAATAACAGGACGACCTTTAAAAATTAAGCATCGTCTACACACAGTCAAAATTCCATCAAGCGTGATAACGTTTTTTACAAATGTCTTTCATATTTCCTTCCGAAAATTCTGCAAGTGGTCAGAGAAGTAACACAACATAATTCATAAAATAATCCTACCTCTTTTATACAGCATTCAAAACGTTTATCAAGGGTTTAACCGTTTAGCTTGGTATCCTTGCTATATATACTCCACTGTTCATTGAAATCCCCGCCACTCCTATTGATCAAACAGATGATCTCTCCCTAGAAACTGTTTGTAAATACCTAGTGTTAGTGACGTGGAATTAGGTCATATATACTCCTGAATACACTTCTAATTTCAATAGAGTTTCTCATCATAAAAATGTTTGAACCTAAGTTGTTTGTATTTTTTAGATTCGTTTGGTAATTGCATCTTGAAACATTGTTTCACTCATCTTCGTCGTTATATTCTTTTTTAACATCGCGGAAGGATCTAAAACGCGTATTTCAAAATCATAGCAAATTTTACCGTATCAGAATGATTTCAGTTTATGCTTTTAACCTGTACTAGTCTTCTGGGATGACCACCAATTCATAGTCAATTTGATTGGCTCCTGTTAGTATTTTGACGTTAGCACGATAATTACCGGTTGCCTATGACTTGGGCTCTTTTACAGCAATGTAACACTAGCCATCAAAATAGGTCAGTTGGTGGAAATCGCTGGCCGAATCAAAGCACATATGATGAAATTTCCTCTTTGTTGTACGAGGTTTCCGTCCCAACGGTGATCTTCTTCAAGTACAACTTACACATTTTTTATCTTTGCACTTGATGTTAACGTTAAACTTGCGTTGTGGAACTTTGTATCAAGCACAACACAGAGATATGGCTTTCTTGGAGGTCTAAGCTATAAGTTGTATGCTACAGTAGGAAGGAAACGGCAGCGCCTAGGTGCATAGTGGGGATTGTTGATGATAATTCCATTGGTTTCTTGTCTCAAATACACTTACTTGAGATGTATTGAAAGCTAGAAATTAGTTACGCATCCACTTTTTCTTATTCATTCTTTCTGGAAATTGCATATGCAAATTTGTTGGCTTTCAAAAACGAGAGAGATAAAAAAAGAAAATCCACGTAAAAAAACTATCTCCAAAAAGGACAACATACACATATAAATAACTCGTCGGGCACAGCTAATGAATATACTTCATTGGCATCATATTCATTAATAATTTTCTCACATAGCAAATATTACTGATTTTATACACATGCAGACCAATACACATAATCATCCAAATGCGAGCTTGCTACTCAACCAATTTCTTTCTTTCACATCTTCTCACAGCAGATAAACACTACAGACTTCTTGGCTTTCTGCAACCAACAATGCATGTCGGGTCGTTGAGTCATTCCTCCATAGATGGACGCTTTGTCGGTTTTTTGACGTTTTTTACATAATACGTCATATATCTTCATTAGACAGGAATTAAGCTGTGTCGCCAGTTATACTATTCTACTATAGTTCTTTTCGCGGTTTTTGGCGGCTCAAAGTAAAACTACAGGAATTGCTTTCATACATACACATGCAACGTACCCCTGTGTGTGAACGTTTGTTCGGTAAGCTCAAATACATACGTTTTTTAGTTGTGTTTCTTCGTCTCGCATGAGTGCCCTTCAATCATATTTGTCAGAATGACAACTTACTTGACATCGACGTGCAATTTGAGTTGTCATGTTATTATCAATCTTCAATATAAAATTGTACAATGCTCGGAAATACGATCAGTGGAGGAGGCCGACAGCTCGTGCTAAATTTATTAGAGTATTTCCAAGAACAGAATGAAAACAGCGGCCCCTGTTACCCACTTCATGCGTACTGGAGAGAATATATGATACGGAGACTCGATCTGTTTACTTATTTCATATGTCGTTGATGACGTAACCGCCAAGAACGGTGACTACAACTATACCATACCGTATAGCATTTGGGGTTATTTTATATTCACTTTCTTAATGTATCTATAACAAAAAATGAATGATTACATAATAAGAAGATAAACCTGGTCGCAAAGGGTTAAATTGAACATCCGAACTCAGTGCTATAGTGGTGGCTAGTTCTTCCGAACCCTACTATGGGGAAAAGGTAGTTAATGTATAGTTATTTATGTCCCTGATTGCATAATATGGATGATTATTCTAATCTCGCTTCATACATCTGTACGAAGCAATCAAGTTGATTACGAGTATAAATTATTCCTTCGATCCGTTGAAAGTGACACTGTCTCATCCCATTCTTGTCGACAGGTCCCCGCTGAACCGGATCAACAAACCCCGCCTACCAGATCCGGACGTATGTGAATTACCTTCACCATCTGCGTCAATTGCGACATCTGGCGGCAGCGGTATCTCGCCAGTAACGCCATCTCCCGGCGGCCTCCACAACATCGCCATGGCGATCGATCCGACGTACACTCGCAGAGGGGCCGGGTACAGCAGAGGCACCGCTACTTCCGGATGCAGTGCTATAAGCGATTCCAGCGGCACCGTTACTACCAGTACTGCCAGCAGTAGTCCAGGTAATGTCTCAATGTAATCTTAGTAAGCGGTACACCGATTTTGAGTGAAAAACGTTATATAGGAGAGTGCATGAGTACATGTTGTTGAGTGCTACTTTCTACGATAAGCAGTGCACCAGAAGTGATACAGGATCGTGAAGAAAAACGTTCAGAAAACTGTGAGATAGTAATCTTTATTCGGGTATTAATACATAATAGAATAAAAATATGAGTAAATAATAGAATACAAGAAATAATACACAAAAAGAAAGAATATTGGCATAACCATTTTTCACCCCCGCCTATGTAGAAAATTTAAATAAAATTATTCACATAGCGTGCGACACTCATCCCCTAGGAGCGATAGGTCCTGAATCGATCCTAAACCGATTCGACCCAATTCAAAAATGTGTACGCCCAAAATAAAACAATTATCTGAGCATAGAGAATAAACTAACGCAAGGAATTGGTGTAACATATTGGCAACGCGGCAGATTGGCACGTCATCGTTGCTAGGCAATACCATGATGAGCTTCGCTGTCCAGCCGGTTTCTATCTTTTTCTAACATATGTGTCTATATACACGTCACTTTCGTACACATTGAACTCACACCGTTAAACAAATTTGGTTCTTAGTGTGTAGGACCTATAACTGATAGCTATAAATATCTACAGAGAGAATGAGATACATATATTCAACCATTTGTAGATTCAGTAAATTGTAACTCTGTAGCAGCATTTTTTTAATTCTCTTTTGAAGCAGTGAATGGATGTTAATTCAGAAAAATTTGGGTAGTCATTAAGTATACTAGGCGCTAAGTAAGAAAAACATGTTTGCTGGTATGTTATAACAATAGTCATCACGGAGAAATAGAGTAAAGTGTCAAAAAGATATCCGGGAGATTTATATTTAAAACTCTTAAATAATAGAGCAGCATAGAAAAGCAACGAGCGACGTTTGAACTTTAAAACATTTTCTCTTGCGTAATATTCAGTTATGTGTTCATGTTCGTTATTTCATTGTAACAAAACCTCATAGAACGGTTCTGTAAAACTTTTTACTTCATTCCCTCGGTGAGATAAAGGTAATAATCTGCACTACAGTGATCTAAACGTGTGAGGATTAGTGCATTAAGTTTTAGTTTGATATACTTATATCTCCATAGCGTTTTGTATTTATAATAACATACCTGTACTTTGAGCATTTTCATAATATTACTTTCAAAATTTTTATTTTTTATCTAGTACTTTCACAAAATTTTTAGCTTCCTCAACTAATTCACGGCAAGGTTTGTGCATGTCCGATAATAAATTACTAGCATAAAACCTGTACTTCCGGTTCTTTCAATTTAATTTGCTATTGAAATACACAGGCATGATGCTTCCGTCACCAGACATCGGTGATATAGACGATGAAAATCCTGCACCACCCTATATGCCAATTCAAGGCCAACGTAGAACTGCATCTTTAGAAAAGAAGCAGAAGAAAAAGAATAAAGAAGGCGGATGTAAGCAACAGTAAAATATGAAAATAAGAGTTAGCATCTTTTTAATAATAATAATAATGTTTATATTAGTAAGAATCCATGTGATCAACGAATTAGAATCTCACTATCAAAGGCGGATATGAAGTGATGCTCACAACGCACTCTGCGTCGTTCCCCAGGTAGACGAGAGACCCCACAATCAGAAGTGCCAGAGAACATTTGTTCTTGCGCTCCCTCTCGGGGTTTCTCCAGCCGTAATGTGGGTTTCAGCTTTAGGCTCCGAAGACCTTAAATCCGCCACTGCTCACTATTGTTAAATTTTATTTCCTATACAGTGCTTGAATATCACAATAATAGATTAGTAACAGAATTAGCGGGAGACGCATACCGACAATAAAATTCGATGAAGAATTCTTAATCAGAGATTGAGATGTTTTTATGTATCTCAATGAAAAATTTACTATATGCGACATATGTGCCATAACATATGACTAATCCAAAGTTCTTTCACAATGTGTCAACCTTTCATCCACTATGCCTATTTTCATAAACCAATAAGTTACAATCTTTCATAGAAGAATTCACTACAAATGTGTTCTTTTTATCGAAAAATTTAATTTTTTTTTCATGTAAGTATAATAATATATTGAGACGTACAATATCAATTACTGATGTGTCAATTTTGTGATATGCAAAGACTGTACAAGCAAATGTAGTTAAAATTAACCTATTTGAAAGTAGAATCATACTATTACCGTATACGTCACTGCCCATCTATATGTGATAGTTTTATGCGGCATATGTGTTGTTATACCATTGATGCCTCAGTCCTCGGTAATAATTGTTGTACGACTGCAGTTTTAACGTATCTATACGTTTATAGAGAAGTTTGTTTAGTCTGATATTAAGTATTCCAGTAGACAATTCTAAATGTGTTAAAATTTGACGACCGTTCCATTTCAAAATATGTCTAAGTCTAATAAAGACAATCAACAGAAGATATTAGTTCGATTTTAGTCCACAAATATTACATATAAATGTCTAGCGTGATTCGAGACTACTCATCAGAGTTATAAAAATCATTCTAATGGTTGAAGCAGTGTCCACAACAGTGGCATCCTTTATGTTAAATTACTTGAATGTAGTACAAACTTTCGACAAAATTAAACATTTTTTAGTGTCGGTAAGGTTATTGCTGCCAATTATTACTCAAATTTAGACTCGTTTCCTTGATATTAAACATTGAAATTGATGTTTTATCGAATGCACTTAATGTTTGTTTTGGCAGTCGAGCCTGTACGCGATGAAGTTCTGTACTTAATACTTTTTCACTAGTGAACGACAGGGTGCTAACTTAACGAATCCTTATTTAGAACTACTGAACTTATATCTTAACATATATTTTACTGATATTGTTTTTAAATTTTGATGTAATCTGTGACGTATTTATAAATTATTCTTATGTATCATATACGTGTATGCATATCACAGTAAAAACCAATTACAATAATGATGATAATCAAAACAAGATGTAGAATTAGTCCAATATATCAACAATAACACCAAAAATACTGCTCAATATTTATGATCTACATAGTTCTAATATTATTTATGTTTAATAGTTGGTGGAAGGTATCTTGTATTTTTATATATCCATAAATATAATGTTACGTTGAATATATGTTGTTATTTCTTGTCTGAAACTGAAGTATTCATTTATAAAGAAACGTTTCCATTACGACAAAGAAGCAGGCTTAAAACATGGAAAATGGGTTCCAGTTGTTTTGTCGAAAAATTCAGTATATTTGTTGCCTTCCCGAACAAAAGGGTCCATGGAACCACAGCAATCCTATGAGTAGTTGCTGAGAAATCGGCGAATAAAGTTTGCCAGATATGCAAAAACTATAAATACTACTCGTCGTTGCTTCTCAAGGCGGTCCGGAGGACCTTAGCCTTTAGGTTATAGTCACTGTAATGTCAGTGTCTGTCGTCAGTCTGTCAGGTCTGGTGGCCCAGAAACCAGACAAGTTGTAGGGGATAGTAAAGTATAAATGTGCCGATGATAGTTCCGAGACCAAAACTCGGAGAATCAGTATAAACGAAATATTTGATTGTAGGAAGGTGTCATGTTGATCATGTGCATGATCCATGCAAGGTTTGTTACCGGTAGGCATGTTTGATACGATCCGATATTTAAAAGTATCGATACTGTTGCTTCCGATATATATTTTGGATCGATATTTTTATATACGATACTTGGGTGTATCGATACATTTCACGAGTATCGTTATCTTTCAATCAGGACTGTGTCAGAAAGAGTGACTAACTTCAGATTACTATTCTTCTTTGTTTCCTTCCACTTCACGATCTCACATAATTTGTTTTGGATTCCACGGTTGCCATATTAGGGGGTTTTCCCCAAAGATCAGGAGACTTTTATTTTAATGGGGAAAATTTTGGGGATATTTTTTTCTGATGATTTCTTTTGGGAAACATGTTTTACTGAGGAGGTATTATTATGTAAAATTTTATTGACATTAAGTACATAATGTACTTGTAATGTATTTAGTTTTCGATTCGAAACAAATACTGTTACCTTTTGGGGTATTTAGCGGCATACAAAAAAACATAAAAATATTTTAGGATCCAAGAATACCTAACAAATCATAAACCTATGGTAACAAAAAATAAATGGTATTTTTTGCTGATTTTTTTAAATGTCCTGCATTTAGGAGATTTTTATATTTCGACTGGGGAAACTGAGCTAAACGACCTGGCAACCCTGTTGGATTCGGTTGCGTGGAATTACACACACATGACACAGTGGTTTTAGTACCGGTTGATTAAACATTCAGTTTAAAACAAAACATTATTGTGATAGTGATGCCTCGTGTAAAAGAAATGATTTGTGTAGCTATTTTGTAAAATCGAGTTTAGGTGGGGGATGATTTGCAGTCATGAAGTTGAATAAAGTAAACATTATTTTGACTGTAGAAAAAACAACTTTGATTTTTGGCAGTGTAAGTTCCGTATCGATATTTTTATTCCGATATTTTAAACCTACAATACCTTAGCGATACGAATCGATACATTTCATCGATACTTTTCGCGGATCGGAACATCCCTAGCTCCGGGCAAGCTAATTTTTATGTTTGCAACATCTTGCAAAACAATCGCCGAGAGAAAGAATGCGCCAAACAGTCCAAGAAATTTCTTCGCAACCGCTCGGAAAAATATTCATTTTTTTGCAGAATTTTATTTAAAACGACCCCTATTAACGAAACCACGTTGCTAGGTTCAAAATTACACCAGATATTGTTTAACGAGTATTTGAAATACATTCCAAACATTGTGTTTTTTGCTTCTGGTACTTCTTTCGGTTTTCTACGTCATTCTAAGCAAAACATGTTTATACCAAATTATAGTTTGAAAAAACTAAAAAAAAAAAAACACGGTTTAATAGCAAATCCATCCCAGGCCAATGCGCACAGGTTTAGTCTCCACACATTGGTGTTGGTCTACATTGGCTTCAATGTGTGAATGCAACGTAATACTGTTTGAATTTTGCAACAGTATAAGCAGCTGCAACCTACTAATTTTCACCAATTTCATGAAGTTGATCAACCTGAAGATTTGCACGGGGATCAAGGCCGATGACAATAACGATAGTTTTGGGAAAAAATCGAGTTTGAAGATTAAGAAAAATGAATTTAGAAATTTCAAAAAAAGCAATAGGAAACTTGGAAAATAATTTTGAAGATTTGCGCTTTTTACTATAATTGGATGTTTTTTTAATATCTCTTTTTTTATATTGATCCTAATCCAAATTAATGAGTCATACTTGATTTTTCTACTTTCTATTGCAGTAAAACAAACTCTCATATGCTTTAAAATTATTTTCTTTTTAGTTCGAATTGCTATTAAAGCGATTTTTTTAAACTATAATTTATTTTCTGAATTTTTGGCCTCAAAACGACAACAAAATCAAACCAAATCTTTGTCCAAATTTCATTTTTTCAATTTCGAAATTACCAATTTTTTTTTAATTTACGATTGGTCAAATTATTTTCAAAATTTTCAAATCCAATTTTTTTCCTGATTTCAAAAGTCAATGTTTTAAAAATTGGTCAATTCGAAATCTTTCCCCACTGGCATCGGCCCTTGACCCCTAAATTTTCAAGTAAAGCAGACTTCTTAAGATTGGTGAAGATTAGGTTGAAAGATCCCAATACAGAGAGACGTAAACATTTGTACACTTACTAATTGATACTTGAGGAAGGCTATAGGCATGGTTTTATCCAACTCATCGTTGATTTTGCCTATCTACAAAATACCCAAACACCTCGAAAACTTGGCAACCGCGCACTTTTTGGAAAAAATATTCCTAGTTTCAGGAAAGCAATTAATTGATGAGGTAATTGGAGCTCAGGTTTGTAAATTCAAGTAAGTCACCATTGTTAACAGCAGATCCGTGCAGCGCTCGAGATTCTACATCTGCAAATATACTTTTTTCGTACATGGGATTATAAGTAGTTCAATTACTATGATCTAGTCTGAGAAGTACACAAACATCCCAATCACGCATTTTTTTGAAAAAAGGTTCAAAGTTTTAGTATATCTGAAAAGCAATTTGTCAATGATTCAAATATAATAATAATAAAAGGTTTTTACTGCCAAGCGGACTAAAAAAAAATTACCAAGAACAAATTGTAGCTACTAAAAAATAGAATAATTCTTCACCTATGCCGTACGGTGATACCTTACAAGCAAGTTACTGGATCCAAGGAAAAGAAAAACTGTTGTATACACACAAAGGAGTTAAACTTTGTATGTTTCATATTATACAATAATCAGCCAATAGAAAGTGCTTAATTTATAGACAAACTCCTGACCTAGAAACTGACCTCAGAGATAATTGGGAGGATATCAAATGACTCTTGTGATCCTAAAACATTTCTTAATACCTTTTCTACAAAAAATATGTGGTTGCCAGTTTTGGGTATTTAGTAGATATACAGGGTTTGTCCGGAAAGTAATAGGACTCATTTTCTTCCGCCATGACTGTACTTCGGAGCGTGCGCGCACCGACTGGATTCGGTAGAGGGCGTTCCTAGCTAACGAATGAGCGGCTGGTCAGTTGTCTCCGAGCACTTGGAGAGTCAGGACAGGCATTTTCGCGCGACGTGTTTGCAAGCCGAAAATGCAGCGTTCGTTAGAGCAGAGACGTTTGATATGATCAAGCAGGCTTACCTAGGTGTCACTTTAGCAAGAACTGGTGTGTTTCGGTGGCACCAGGCCTTTTTGGAGGGCCGAGAAGAAGTCGCTGATGAAGACCTTCGACTTCGAAAAATACCGATAATGTCGTTTAATTGCCCAGATGTTAAATTTACCAAAATCTGTGGTTCACGATATTGTGACACAGCATTTGAACATGCGCAAGGTGTGCGCGAAGATGGTCCCAAAAGTGCTCACTGACGACCAGAAACTGCGGCGAGTGGAAGTGTGCCAAGAAAATTTGAACATGTGTGAAAGTGACCTCGAATTTTTGAGTAACTTACTCAGAGGTGACGAGTCGTGGCTCTTCGTGTATGATCCCGAGACAAAGAGGCAATCTTCCTAGTGGCACACGATGGCGTCTCCTCGCCCAAAAAAGGGAAGAATGAGCAAATCCCAAAGTGAAAACGATGCTCATTGTCTTTTTTGACATCAAAGGCATCGTCGACCATGAATTTCTTCCTCCTGGACAAACCGTCAACGCCAAGTTTTACGTGGAAGTGCTCAGGAGACTCAAGCGAAGGGTCAGTCGGGTCCGACAAGACATCGCAGCCGACTGGAAGTCGCACCACGACAACGCCCCGGCTCACACCGCCTTTCTTGTGAACAGCTACCTGACCAAGTCCGGCATCCCAACGTTTCCGCAGCCGCCCTACAGCTTAGATGTGGCCCCCCGGACTTTTTTTTTGTTTCCTCGCCTGAAAAGGCCGATGAAAGGCAAGCATTTTGAGACGACAGGGGATCCAAGCAGCATGCACCGCGGCTCTCAAGGCTATTCCGGAGAATGCCTTTCGTGACGCTTTCAATGCTTGGAAATCGCGCCGGCAGCGCTGCATCGACGCAGAAGGAGCCTATTTTGAAAGTTTTTAAAGAATTGTAACGATTTTCTCAATGAATTTTTTTAAATCGACTCAATCCTATTACTTTCCGGACAAACCCTGTATAGGCAAAATTGACCATCAATTCGCGGTGAAGTAAAAAATACACAAAGAAATGATGATATAATTGGAATAAAATACAATCAGTGCTTGCTATATGCATCACAATAAAAAAACATTTTATATTATAAAGGCTAATACTGCCCAATGAACTAATTGATATAAATCAAGTGTAACTTGTTAATCAGGTATTTTTTACAGTATTTGATGGAATCTGTAAACAGTTGTAAATATTCACATAAGTACGTATACATTTTTTTAATTTATAAATATCTTTAAGTGTATCATTACTTTCTGAATATGAAAACTACATTGTTGTTGTAGTATGCTTTCTAGTTATAAAGATTGTGAAGTGTTTATCAAATAATTTTCACAATAATGGAGTTCTCAAAATCAGGGTGTAATCAAATATCTCATGTCAGTACTGTAACAGCTAAATTATTTTTGAACTTTTATTGTTTCTCTTCTACAAAAAAGTGAAGGATTTTAAAGAAATTCTCATAAGAAATGCATAACATTAAATGCTGAGCCTGAAGTTACAGACAAAATATGAAATGCACATAAATCCGTATTTACTTACTTCCACAAAATTTTAAATCAAATATTCATAGCATCATAAAATGCAAATGACTCAAACCTCATTTCATGATTCTGTAGACATACTGGTTTCATCCAGCATCTAAAATAATTTTGTAAAATTCTTAAAAATAATGACTGGGATAATTTAAATAACTTTGGCTCCAACAGGAATTTTGTTCAGAATATGAGGCTCAAACCTCTTATATTCCTCACTTATAACAGATATATCAAGGTCAGCATCTAGGACAATAACAGGAGCTGGGCAAGTATGGAGTGTTTTGTTATACAACCAATTTTCATGTATTTCATGTAATGCCTGGATGTAATCATATGGAACGGTGCGTTCTTCACTTCTATTTCTTTTCAGTATCCTCTCATATGCAACTTCAGGTGTTGTCCTGAGGTAGACTACTAAATCTACAGCAGTATCTTCCATACTGGTTATGTACTTGAACCATTCATCAATGACACTGACTGAAGGAGGGAGCATCAATCCATCCCTCTGCATCTTCTCAACAAAGCAGAACCTTGCACTGTACACAGAACGTTCCATAAGTTTGATGGGCTGAACTATCTTCTTTTGGTGTATTCTAAGCATTGTCAACTGTACATATGATTGAAAGGTGAAGCTCCACTTCTTTGCATCTGTGTACATGTATTCCTGTAAAAAAAGTACCTAGATTATACACTGTAATTATTAGCCATAGCCAAATAGAATAATGAAATTCATTGCACAATTTCAGGACATAAACATGCTGATGCATTTTTACAGATAAGCATTTCTTCATATAAGTCAAGGATGCCTTTTGTCACTGGTTGCATTATTCTGTAAGTTACTGTAGCTCTGCATGCTGAAGACCAAAGCTTAAGCTTTCAAAAGTGATGGTAATATATATCCTATTTAGCGAGTATCAGGTATAAATCTAGTAAAACCTGTTTGTGGCGTTTTTTTTTTTTGTATGCAAATTGACTTTTCTGAATAAAAGAGCTTTTAGCATGTACAAAATAAATGTGTAGAGTACAAAAAACCAAAACAAAATATGACTGACTACCCGGCATTGACAGAATTATGTGTCCTGTGCCAATATGTGGAATTTTGAGATATTACTAGATAACCAGCGACCATTCTACTGTGATAGATACTTGTGAAATAGAGTATAGTTGGCATATAGTTATGTTTATGAAGAACCTAATCTACTACAACATTCTCCTTACAAATGTGAAAGGCTCCTAAACTACATAAAGCCTTACGTTATTCCTTGACAAGATTTTCATGGACAGGGGCAGCTTTTAGTGCCACCCTATAGGTCTAAGATTCCATAAAAAATTATATTCACAAAATCCTATTAATTCCACTGCCAGTATTTGATTTATTTTATCATTATGTGCAGCATTATGCTACAGTTTGTAACATACAATATTCGCATTTCCCTATAATATATCTATTCTTTTGTGTGCATCAATTACTAGCTTCATTGTCTTCTCTTTTTGGCATATACCTTGCTTTGCAACACAAACATTTTTTTGAGTGGTAAACGCCTAGGTAAATATGCAGTTGTGCAATCATAATTACGAGTGAGGATATGAAGGGAATGTAATATGACTCACAAGAAGATTGTATCCATTGCAGTTCCTCCACATATCGATGGGTTCAGCGAAAATGGCAACATTATCGTAGCGACTGAAGTGTTTCAAAAATGTCGTTTTACCGCTTCCGATGTTTCCTTCAACAACGGCTGTGAAAGGCCTACCGGACAGCCTCTTGGAAGCGATTGTCTCTGCCATTTTCGTGATTACTGATCTCAAACCAGACATCAACTCGGGATTCCAAGCCACACTAACGCTAATAAACCGCCAATTTTTTCAGGCACAAAAACGGCGGGAACATACCAGGACACGCCAGTTTGGGACAGCGAGGATGTTATCTTTGTTCTTTGGTAAAGTTTCACTCAAAATACGTATTGAGGAAATTATGTTTTGTAATAAATCCTGTATAAACGTTTGTAATCGTACTGGTTTGAAGCACCTTTTTCATAAATATGGAAAATAAAAATACGATTCAGTGATAGTGACAATTCTGACATTTGGTGTAACGTAAAACGTCAAAAATGTCAAACGTGATCAGTCAACGAATCTATCCCGTAGTACAACGATTAACCGTTAATGTCATTACAGGGGGAGGTCACAAAATACGTTATAGGTCAATCGACTAGGGTCGACGTGTATATATTATGCGGACGGTAACTCAACCAACCGGGATAGTGCTAGCATCACCATAAATCGAAGATATTTTGTGTTTTGAATATCTTTTAACAAGAGAATGTCTTTAAAAATAATGACAAGTTGTCTAATATTGGTTTTAACAAGTCAAGTCTATTTTTACATCGGAGCAGTCGCCAAGGCGATAGTACTATGAATGGTACGAAGCAGTTAAAGGCATCTCGGTGCTCTATACTCCCTACGCCATATAAGAACGAAGGAACAGTGGTAAAAGCATCTTCATGTGTAGGTTAACACAGCTAGAACGAGAAGCCTGAGGGCCCATCTGGTAAACCTGGATTGCAACAATATCAAGGAGAATAGCTTAGATACGCAACATCTGTTGGTAGATTGCCGAGCGCCCGTCGATGTGAGATAACTTGAATAGCCCTCTTGGACAGTTCTCAGAAAAATCCCCTAAGTGTGTAATATTCTATTTTTAGGTTACAGTAACATCGTGGAAACGTTTCTGGAACCACGTCCTACTCAGATATGTTTCAGGTACAGTAACATATATGCTTTAATGAAACGTTTATGCACAATGTTGCAAAAACACCTGTTGGGCATTTTGGAATGTTCCCAATGCCTTATTTTTAGGACGTAACTAGACGTATCTTTTGGAATGTTGCAACACATATAGTGTAATTTCCAATTTAGTAAATATCGAGGTGGAACAATTTCAAAACTAGTACATTATACCCGACTCCTACCTGCAACAAAAAACAAAGTATTATTGATTGATTGATTGATCCCAATGAGACACTTGCTCTCTAGCAAGACCAACGGTTAATTTTTTGATTGACCTTACAACCATCCACTTTCTTACGAAAACTAACGACTATCGACATTTCAACTGAAATCAGTGGCGACGCGTGACTTCTGCTAGACTGTTACCAAGACCAGATTTTGAATCTCCCAAATGCAATTTTTTGCTTATTTTAGGTATTTTATTTAAACTATTTTCAAATTAAGGTAAACATTTCTGGACTGAGCGTCTGGGGCACTTGATATACCTAATCGTCTTATGCTATGACTAATCCAAGGCGTCCGTAAAAAACAGTCGACGTTTCTAGATGTTCGGATAATTTTTGATCTTTTTTGGCAACGAATGTTAACAATTCTCTGTAATTTCCTTTATTGTCAGAGTCATCCCCTTCAAAATGAACGGTAGTTCCTGTTTTGCCAAAAAACCTACGGTATCTAAAAGTGTGCTGCTTAAAAGCTTGTTTAAGACAACTTTCGATTCTTGTTTTGCCAAACTGAATTAAATTGGCTACAAATCTCACATGTAACGGAGAAATTTCACGTCTCCTCTTTAGAGCCCTAAAACTATTTCAATCGTTGACTCCGCTGCTGGTCCACCCATTTTTTTCTGTATAAAACAGAAGACATCGCCAACAATACAATCAAAAAATGGGAACAAGCCCACATAATAGTCGCAGCGCCCCACGCACTCGGGCCACCGCGATCTGACACGAGCCGGTTCCGACGGTTCCCGGCGGACTACCAAGTGTATCCATAAATGAAAATGGTAACAACCGACAACCAAGTCGAGGCGAGTCAGCTTCATCGTGTTCGTAAAACCTAGACACTATAGGGCGCATTATTTTCGTGGGGCTAATTTGCTATTTACTGAATTACTATTACATACCGCTGTCGGCAAACAAATAAATGAAATTATTTCACAATAACTTAGTCATCAAATATTTATTTTTAAGGTTTTAAACTGTTACCAATGGTAACAATGGTTACATGGACGCTTCGCCACTGACTGAAGTGGAGATAATGTAATAATTTTCTTCTTTGGTACCCTCCATCTTTCAGAGTTAATAATTAAATCAAATAATAGCTTAATTACTTGAGAAATTATGTTTTGCTGTGCTCGAATTATAATGTCAACGTCGATGACTGAAAAGTGAGAGGCCACAGGAGACAAAATAACGTCGCAAGCGACTAGTCGCTGCGTCTGTGTATTTGAGTTCTATGGGTAGCAGTGTGAGTAGAAGGACTTCATAATCGCATGACAATAACTACGACTTTTTAATAACCGGCATTATAAAGAGTATGACCTTGGAAATTCAGTAATGCGAATTGGAAACCTTCATTCATTATCAATGTGCTTTGCTCTTCAGAGCTCTCTTCCATGATGCCGCCCCACGATGCTTTTGTCAGACAGACCCGCGTAACTTCCGCCTCCCATTATAACGATGTCGAACTTCGTACATCCAGAACTGGCCGATATGACCGCTCATTTGTCCCTAGGGTCTCGAGATTGTGGAACAATCTATAAGAGGAATATTTTCCCAGGTATACTAACCGGTAATTAAAAAATCGGACTAACAAAGTTTCTTTGGGAGCCTTATTACAGCCACGGTGCCCTGGCATTAAGGCTTTTGCCTGCGCGGCTGCTTGTAAAAAAATCAGAGAGAGAGTCTTTCTTATCTTCATCTCACCTGTAGAGGTTGACTTGACACTCCGAATGCCTGTTTGTAATGTAAATTACGAGTATATTATGAATTTACTGTTTGGATAATAATACAAACTAGTAGCATTTTGAGAAGGCGATTATAACAAAGCTTACAGACGTTTGAAATCTTCTTTGCAAGTATTTTCTCGAACGCTACCTCCATTCTTCCCAGGCGCCCCTCAGGTGCTAGCGCCCTAGCCAGTCGCCTAGTATGCCTAGAGCCTAGAAGCTGTGGACATTATTATCATGCAGCAAGCCAAAGCCAAAATAGAGAACCATCAGGTACGACGGCAAGAGCGTACCCAGCTCAAAACAGAAAGGGGGCACCTTCGAACATTTCCAAGTTCCATTTCCATAAATCATATCTACGTAACTCTGCTTGAAATTTTTTTGCATTTTGTTTCTATAGAGTCTTCCGCGACGACTTGACAGTCCATATGGATTTGGAAAACTACTAGGATTACTTCCTTAAACCACCAAGCAAATATTGCGCGAGATGCTTAATTACGTAATAATTTAGTCGTCTGAAATATTTGGAAGCTAAACTTGAAATAATATTTGACGAACGTTTGCTATGCTGCAAATTTTATATATCTATTGTTTGGTCGTACATATCCCTAAAAATTCAAACAGGGTGCTCATTTTTTCACTGAAGTCAGGAAAGTTATGTAATCTGAAAGGCCTGTCTAATGACACCAGTATTATGACGAAAAAATCTATATACTCCTATATATCCCATAGATCCCCATAAAACTTGACTTTATATTTATTTTTATTTATGATGAATTTGAACGCAATCAATAATTCCCTTAGAGAAGACAAAAACTGAGGAGCCGACGCACCACCCATTTAATCACCTTCAGGCACCTGATGTTCTTGATTTGGCATTATCCAAAAACTGTAGCTACAGCATCACTTCTCGAATCATGTATGACATCTCAAGCGATCATCTTCCCGTCGTTTTGGAAGTGGCTAATGAGCAGATCTTGGGGGATGAAATCCCTCCAAGGAAACGCATTGATTGGGAGCTATACAAGTCGCTCCTCAAAGAGTTCCCCAATATACCGATCATAGATGATGAGAACGGTATAGATGCGGCTCAAGCAGAGTGGACAAGTTTTGTTCAGCAAACTCTGCAGCGTGCAGCTGTACTTCCCGTGCAGCGACACGGCAGACCTTTTCTGCCAGCAGACATTCGTCAGAAAATTTCTGATAAAAGAGCTGCAATTAAGCAAGCGAAAAGGTCTTGTCATCCTGATGACATTCGCAGAGCGACGAATCTTGTTCATGAAGTAAGAAATGCTCTTCATGAATTCCGCAATGAGCAATGGAACGACTTTCTGGCGGGGATGCTTGACTCAAGCATTCCTCTCTGGAAGGTGGCGAAGTCGCTCAAAAACGGAAAGCGTGAACAAATCCCACACATTCACGGTCCTGGAGGCATTGTCTTCAGGACAGAGGAGAAGGTTGAGGTTTTCGCCGATGCCATGGAAAGACAGTTCTCTCCCAACTATGATCTTGATAATGACCTCGACGAGGAGCAACACATCGTAAGATCTGTCAGGAGATATTTTAGGGCCAACGGCGTCAGTGACAGTCGCGCATTCGTTGGTGATTTTTCTTCATCAGAAGATTCTTCTTCAGAAGCTTCTTCAACCGAAGATTTGCTTAGCACATCAGCGGTATCTCCTGAGATCCCGCATTGCACACCAGCAGAGATTCAAGGTCATATTGAAGACCTTAAAGTGCGTAAAGCACCTGGGGAGGATCAAATCACTAATAAGGCGCTGAAGCTGCTTTCGCGGAAGTCCTTAACTTATCTCGTGGCAATAGTCAATGCCATGCTCAGGATCCAGTACTTCCCATCCGCGTGGAAGACCGCTGAAGTTATAATGATTCCAAAGAAGGTGGGTTCGATATTTCCCCAGGATTATCGTCCCATTAGCCTGCTGTCAGCTGCGTCTAAGCTCGCTGAAAAGGTGATTCTACGTCACCTTGAGAATTTCTCGTCAGATCACCATGTGATTCCTGACGTGCAATTCGGTTTTCGGTCTGAACATAGTACGGAGCTACAGGCGGTTAGGCTGGTGGAACGTGTAACCAGAGGATTCACCCTTAACGAAAGTACTGGCATCTTGCTTTTGGATGTCTCAAAAGCATTTGACAAGGTGTGGCACGCGGGCCTCTTGTATAAACTAATCCAAAAGGGCTTCCCTTTTTGGCTTCTAAAACTACTGAAATCCTTCCTTGAAGGTAGGAAATTTCAGACCAAAATTGACAATGTGCTGTCGACAACACGGCTGATTACAGCCGGCGTCCCTCAGGGTTCGGTCCTTGGACCTATCCTTTACTCACTGTACATCCATGACGTCCCT